CTGTTGAGCCCCAATCTGTAATGCAGCAGCTGTTACTGCTTCTCAGGGATGGGTCTGACCTCACCATGAGGAACATTCATTACATCAGTGTTCCCTATAGAATAGGTAATAATTGGCTGAATCAGCATGAGAAAATGCTCCATTCACGATGGGCAGCAACTTAGACAATAGTGTCACAGTGACTGTTATCCCATTTAGAGGAGAAAAAGGAAAGCAAAAAAGAGAATATCTTGTATGCTGAAGGCAAGACTTAGAAGAAGACATGGGAAAATATTATAGTGTCCAGGGCAGCCACAAATAAATTTCCCCCCCTGGCAGGCTGAATTTCCCCTAAAAAATTGTCATGTATTCTCAAGATTGTTATTGCTCTGGGCTTATATAGAGATTTTTTTTAGAATGAAGTTGGACTATAGGTTTTTTTCCTGTTAGCCTTTTAACTAGCAAACATTATTTTAAATCTTCATTAAAACTGCTTTTTGTTCCACATTTCTCCATTTCATAGTCAGGAGGGCATGCTAGATCTACTTGAATGTTCACTATTAGGTTTATGTGTGAACATAACAGTTCTGTTTAGCTGACAAGTATCCGTTTGGGATTTACTTTGATTTCGACATTATCGTGAGAACTTCACATTTTCATACCTCTGACACATCCACCCAGTTCTTTCCACTAAGTTTTCATGGAAAACACTTATCTAGCAATGACAATGTCCCTGGGGAGTAAGATTTGCAAACAAATGCTTCCAGGTTTCTAACAGCTCTGCTGTTTTTTCATTTGATGCTGTTTATCTTCCTTGCACTTGGAACAATGCAGTAAAACCGTCCAGTTTCTGTCTGAGGTGTAGTGTGGTGATATGGCTTTATTCAAGTATCTGACAGTGCTGACAATTCAGATGTGTCCAGGCCCAAATGTTAATACTTGTCCGATTGTTTCTAATGGGGTGGATGGGGGACAGCCAAATGCTTATCTTGCATGTGAGCTGCTTGGCCTTGCAGCTTCTGTAATTCTCTTAATTTCTCCTGGCTGCTTTAGAGAAAGAAGTGGGGAAAGGAGGGACTGGGGAGGAGAATTGTAATGTATATAAAAGGGATAGGAGCTGGTCAGTGCAGGTTTGTAGTTGCTGCCCTTTTTCTTTCCTTCTAACAATGAATGAAACTTCTAGTCTAATAATAATTAACTTGTTTACAACTTTTATATTTTAAAGGTATAAGACTTTAAAAAAAAAAAGAGGAAAACCAGAAGTAAATTCATCAGCTTGCCAGGCTGTGCTTTTACTTTGCTCAGAAGTATTACTCAGAGGTTAAAATGGTAAACTTCCTTCTATTCAACTCAGCCAGAGCTTGGTTTTGTGAAAGCACCCTTTTGTATACATGAGATCTGGAGTCTGCAAATAGTGTGCAATCTCTTGTAGGGCAAGAATGGGCTGCATCTGTTTCTTCAGGGGGAAATTGATCCCTCTTAATTTCTTTGGGTGAAAGCTAGAACTTCTTCCTAGCTCTACATGACAGTTTTATTTATTTGGCAGAATTCTTACATCACAGCAAACATATACTTGTTTTGTTGTGTTGTTTGTTTGGTTTTTAAAAAAAAAAAAGCATGGAGGATTTGCTGTAATAGGTAGTATAGAGGTGAGCAACCTTGTGAAAGGAGACTTGAGTGTGTCTTCTGAAGTATCTCAGGGCATCCCTGCTCAGTGGTGCTCTGCCCAGCTCACCTGTGTCCGTGCCTTAGGGTGGTTAAAGCGTTTACACTTCAGATGGTTATCAGTATCCGCAACTATGACTAATCCTTCCTATCTCTGGAACTTTGTAAACCAGTTTCCCATAGTCTGGCTATACATCTTGCAAAGGAACGTAGATGAACGTTTATTGGCAAAGCAGAAAGGTTATAGCCCAGGTAAAAACAAAGGGAGAAGGGTCAACAGGATGTCTGTTGTTTGATCTAGACTGTCTTTGGGACATTCGCTATTTTTAAGCATTCTTCCTGTGAACCCTTTTGAACTCCCTTTCTGCTGAGAGAAGGGCATGTGGTTGTGGATGCTAAAAATCCAGGTATTTTCCTGTTTTAATATAGCACACTGTATCAAAACATTTGCAGCTTTTCAGTTTACAGAAGACTCTTCATCCCTTTTGTGTGGCTAAGTGAAGCTGATATTTTCATGCTGAGAGGAAGTGTGATATAGCTTGTACAGCCAGTGCTCCAGAAGTACAGTTTATTTTAGTCCTTACTGATTCTTTATGTGCCACTGTGAGCCAGTCTTAATGGAAAATAGCTGCCTTGCGCTGTGTTTCCGGTGTCTGTTGGATAGCTGTACCAGGCTCAGCACTGTGACTGTGGGGTGGGACTTGGTATTTGGAAGGAGATCTTGCCTTCCTGGATTGTTACCACTATAAAAGCCTGATTTTTAAAGCTGTGTCTGTCACAGCAACTAGGACGTATCATTGCAGTGCGGTTGCGCTTTATTCTTGTTCAGTCATTTCAATAAGCAGCTAATCTTAATTTGCGCTGTTGAGCTCCAGGCTGAAAATACAGATGTTGGACATCTGTATTTATGAATACATGAAGGGTGTGTGTGTGTGTATATATATATATATGATGTATTCATACATTATATGAAGGGTGCTCCATACTTCCAGTTCTTTGTAAATTCAGAAAGCGTTACGTGCGCAGTAACTTTACGACCAGGCCATGAGATTATGTTTTGGTTTAGTCATCTAAAAGACCACCACCACTGAATGTCCATAGCCAAACCTGGCCGGTTCACGAGCTTAAAATGAATAGCAGTTACCCTGTAACTCTGTAGGCGTCTTATCCTGCATTTGGGTCCCATCATGTAGTTTTCTGTGATCTGGGACTTGTCTTGTGTGCATTTGTTTCAGCACAGTGTTCTTTACTGCTGCTCTGGGAGCTTCTTGTCATATGTGTTGCCACCTTATGAATTGCTGCCTGTCAGCAGAAGTCTGGGAATGACAATTCATATCTAGAGAAGAACTTAGTGACGAGTCTCATAAAGATTCTTTCCCTTTAAAAGAAGGGCAGTGAGGAAAAGCAGAATTGAGAGACTTCGAAGTGTTTTATCATGGCAAGTTAAAAATCTTATTTTAGAAGTTAAAAGTATAATTGATCTTTCAGAATCAGTGCTGTGGATAAGTCCTGAATGGGTGTAGTGGAAAATGGTAGTGGCTCTTCTCAGTTAGCCATTGCACCCTGTTTTAGAGGGCTGTGGTCTGCAACGGTATTTTATGTGGAGACAGAAACACACTTCTGTGTTTCGAGAGTTCAGCTGTTTGCTACAACCCTTGAGAGTCCTGGGTTTTCATGCAAAAAGGGTTAAACTGCTGAGCCATCAAAGGAGTTTTGTCTTCATTTTGATACACCATCTGCTTCAGAAAGGTGAGGGGACTGGTGTACTGTACACTACATGCGCAGAGAGGTTTGAGGGTTGGGGGTTTTTGCTTTTGGAGAGGGATTAGTTTTATTTCCCTGTAACTGTGCATTAGGTACAGCTTATTCTAGAAGTAGAACAAATTGAGTTTGGCATGTTCTGGCATGACTGTTCTTGCGTTCCTCCTTTCCCACAGCTTTTAGCCCTGGCATTTTTGTTTGCTTGTTTGTTTGAAGCAGAAAACTGCAGGAAATATGTAAATAACTGTTCTGTGTTTTAAACCTCCCAGATCATAGGTTTAGCTGATTTCAGCCAGTTTGCTAAAGCTAGTGGAAAAAGGTCTTTGAATTGTTTAGCATTTATTTAGTTCCTTAAATTCAGCTTCTGTGCACTGATCTATCAAGTCTGTGAATTTTTGGGTATTGAATTTAAAGACAGATTGTTCAGCAAGTACAAATACCTTGTAGAATGGGTTTTTTTGCAGTAAAAGCAGCCAGCATATCCTCTCAAATCAATACTGGCTTATGAAATGATAGCAGAACGGGCATAATGCTGTTGTATGAAGGGCCAGAACAAACCTATTAGTCAAAGATTGGCATTAATATAGATGTGCTCAAACCTAACTAGTGCTATCATTGGATGTAGGACCATCATCTGTGCCTGAAGAGTAGTTCTTGTTTAAATCCAACTTTGATTGTGTAAAAAGTTAATTTATACTTGGTTAAAAGTGTGGGGTTTTTTTAAGAACTCCACATTACATGAAACCCATGGAAATAATAATTACAAGATTATTTGAGTTGATTGGAAAATTTTAATGCTTCTGTAATGTAAAATTACAGCATACTTGAAGACAATTTGGTCTTAATCTTGAGGTGAACATTGAAGTGGCACTGTTGTGAATGACAATAGCACTCATGCCCTAAAGTTAAGCAGGGTTGTCTGCTTCTGTTTCGGAGAAGTGGCAGTTACCACAGTGTGGGCTGCAGGAACGTTGTAAGCTGGAGGCTTGCTTGATAGGCTTGGATTTCTCTTTGCTTCTCATTTGCCAACCAGGAAGGGATGCGGACAGGCATCAAAGGGAGATGCAGAATGGTTTCTGTTGGTACAGGGCTGCCTGACTTGATGTGTCTCAAGTACATTGCTGTTGGGTTTCAAGTTCTGCAGTTCTGACTTAGTTAACAATGACTTTCTGATATGCAGGTCAAAAGAAAAAGATCCTTTCCTCACCTCCAAATTGATGTGATTGTGTTGTCTCATAATTGTGTGATCTCTGCCTGTGGTAAGATGAGTTAAAGTTAGTAAAATCATACTGAGTTCATCAGAGGGTTAGATCTGTCAGCAAACTGATGCTGCTCACATCTTGTTTCAAACCGCTCCCTCTTAGTACCAGCAGCACTTGTATAGGCTTGAAAACTCACACAGAAGCAGCAATGTCTAGTTGCGGTTTGGTGATTTTTTTTCTTCCCTAGTTAATAGAAATAATGAAATGCAGAAAAATGTAATTTTATTATTCCGGAGTGTGTATATCCTTGGGAATTTTAAAGCAAATTACAGGGAATTGGTTTTGCTATAGTTCCCAGTCATTCATTCTGTTATTTGTGTTCTCCATTTCTAGATATCTGCTCGAACAAGACTTCCCAGGCATGCGGATTGGCCCAGAGCCTACCACGGATTCTTTTATTGCTGTGATGTATGGAGATTCAGAAGGAAGTATTCCTGGAAATGCCCTAGTTGTTGATCCTAAGAAGCCATTCCGCAAACTCAGCCGCTTTGGAAATGCTTTCCTGAACAGGTATGATCTGTTTGCTTGTTGTCTTTTTATTTTTATGTTTAAATTTCTGCTTGATACCATCTTCAAACATCAGTGTTTTTTTACTAAGCTTTTTTTTCTGCTGTATTTGTTTTGAACATCATGGAATAAATACTCAGATACAAGCAGGAGTGGTGGCAGTTCAAGTAAATTAAAAAAAAAAAAAGGCAGCACGGGGTAGGATAGTACTAGCATAAAGCTGTGTACACTTGGTAATACTTCAGATAAATGAAAAAGGTGAGGAGTGTTTATATATAATCAGTTATCAGAACAGAAAATCATTGTTAAAACCAGTTCACAGAAAACTGCTGAAACACTCCACCAGCTAACTTGTTTGTAAGGCATTACGCCAGCTAGAACTCAAGATCAGTTTGGGCACAATTTTCCCTGCTCAGCAAAACTGGTAGGTTAGTACTATTACTAAGAACTACTATCCAAAAAAGGAAAAGATTTTTTTCCCTTTGGATCTGTCATGTTCCTTTATGCTGGGGTCTTGCCTGAGGTCTTGGTCTTACCTGAGCTGTTGTGAATTTCTGGGATAGGCAAAAAGGCCTACGAGAATGGAGAATATTTGAATCTGCTTTCTGGATCAAGTACATATTCAAGCTGTTAAGTGTTTTAATTTTAATTAGCTGGTTTTTAAGCAGTCCCATAGACCAGGATAACAGGGTTAGCTTTTGGATGGCTGCTGGGTATTTGCAAAAAACAGGAGAGTTGTTCAGGGCTGTGAATATTGCAGTGGGTAACTTAAGCAGCAGGCTAAATCATAGAATTGTTTAGGGTGGAAAAAACCTTTAAGATTGCCAAGTCCAACCGTAATATTTCCAGTTTGAAGTTATAAATAACTTTGTTCACATTGTGTGAGCAATCACCTTGTTTTCTTCCTGTATTTGATAGTGGCTTGATACGGAGGCCTGGTTTTGCAAGCCAATTAATCTAAATTGGTTCTCTTTTAACAATAAACTTTCCTCTTTGGCTGATAAACGCTGGCATATGTGTTAAAAGTTTGTTATGTACAGTCTCATCTCTTGCTGTGCTTATTCACAGAAGAAAGTTTATAGCTGCTTACAATTGGCTTGGCCATTGCTTTGCTGAAAGGTAAGGATATTTGCTGTGGGAAGATGCAGTCAAGTCTCATTTTAAATAATAATTTTGCAGCCCAAGACCCCTTTCTGTGAGATTATTGGCTAAGTCTTGGCCTCCATATCACTGTTCTATTTCTCTCTTTCCCCACCATTGTGCTCTCTGTGAAAAGTTAATATAATTATACTGTAAACAGTATTTTGCACAGTATTTAAATATTGACACAGAACATGTGATAATACTAAATGTTTGGATGAATGGGTTAAATAATTTTTTGCTACATCATCTGTCTAGCTAGTTGTGTCAGGTCCTGAATCTTAGGGAAACAAGATTGTTAGCTAAAAATATATACAAAATAACCAAGTAAATGATTCCAATTCTTTTGGTGACTTTGGTATTATTGTACTGCTGGTAGAAACTTTTATCTCCCCCTTTGCTCTGCCATAGTGAGGCCACATCTGAGGCCCTGTGTCCAGTTCTGGGCTCCCCAACTCAAGAGATAGGGAACCACTGGAGAGAGCCCAGCTGAGGGCTATGAAGATGATCAAGGGAATGGAGCACCTCTTATGAGGAAGGGCTGAGAGATCCGGGTCTGTTTAGTATCTGTTTAGGAAAGAGAAGCCTAAAAGGGGATCTTATCAATGCTTATAAATACCTGAAGGGTGAGTGTCAAGAGTATGAGGCCAGACTCTTTTCAGTGATGCCCCACCTGGATGCGTTCCTGTCCAGCCTAGTGAAAGCTAGGTGAACCTGCTTTCGCAGCGTGCTTAGACTAGATGATCTCCAAAGGTCCCTTCCAATCCCTACCACTCTGATTCCCCAGTGTTCACATTTGCTCCTTAGTTTTGCAGCAGCAGATCTAGGTGCTTATATTTCCTTAGCACCATGTTTAGTCTGCCACTCTGATCATATTGCTGGTTTTTCAAAACACTCAACTCATTTCTCTTTTCTACTTCTATGTAGTTGAAAATATCTAAGGCTTTATTTCAGTTTCTTTAAGTAACTTGTCATCTTTACCTGCAATCATACTCAGTATTTTGCTTTGCCTTTTCCCATTTGCCATACTTGCAGTGACAACGTTTTATTCCCAATTTTTCACTCATGTCTTAATATATTTCTCTCTACTTCTTTCCTCCTCACTTTTTTTTTTTAATGGTTTCGCAATCCTAGTGTTTTGTTTTCTTGAAAACTTACTTTTACAAGGCTATGGACACTTAGATTATGAAGTGTCCTTTTCATCTGAATGTAACATGTAAGGAAACAGTGAATGAGGTAATGGAAAAACTGAAACCAAAAAAGAACACAGTAGCACAATCAAGGCTTGTACTTACTAATTAGATGCATTAATTTATTGATGTTACCTTACCTCTTTTTTCCATGACCCATTATTATTTCCCCCTGTATCTTGCTGCTTGTGATAGATGTCTCTGTAAGGCTCCTGCGTAGAGAAACTTGTCTTTTATTTCTCCTGTGTCCTTTTAAGGCAAGCTGGTAGGGGAAAGGGGATGGGGACAGGACTTAGCGTGCCCTTGGAATGAGTGAGGAAAGAATATTGCAGTATACTAGAAGATCACAGCAATAAATTGGTGCTGCTGAGAAGAAACACACGGTCCTGCTCTATTCTAATGGGTATATGAATGGACACAAAAAGGAGTATAAATTCTTACTAAATTCTGAGAGTAATTCAAAGTTAATCTAAATAATAATAAAAACATTATTACAAAGTTGTTGATTTTATTTTTGCAAACAATGTAACATATTTTTGCAGTGATAGTCTAACATTGCTGGTTTTCTTTAACAATAGTTTTAGAACAATATGAAAACCATGACAGTGTACAGGCTTGTCATAAGCAGTTAGTCATTCACACAAATATTTTTATAAAGTTTTTTTTTGGTGGAGGTCTGTTGTCGTTAAGGTAGATAGTATGTAGTTTTGCTTTTTATGAGGCAGAACTTAAAAATCACACTTCATGCAAGTCATGAAAGAAATGATGGTTCAGAGCCAAATCTCGGAGTCAAAAAGAGATACTCGGATACAATCAGCATTACAGTTTTAAGTTGTCTGAAATATTAGTTGGATGCAAGATTTTTAACCCATCAGTTGTCTTTAAATCGTGGATATATTCTAAAAGCTACAGCCAGTTAATTCTGAGTTTTCTTCTATTTCATATCATTTTCCTATATACTTTCCTCCTTCCCTTGCCACAAATGACTGCTGCAAAGACTGCAATGTCTTGCCATTTCTGAAACCTGTAGGTCTCCATTTTCTTCCACAGCCTTTTCCTGCTGTCACAGTTTGGGGGATACCCAAGTCACAATACTGCCATACTGTTCAGCTGAAATAATGGTGCCTGTTGTCTTGTGAAATAGGCCTAGAAACAACTCGGGGATAATAAACAAGATCTGGGCTTTCCAAAGTGAAATAGTGATTAAAAAAAAAACCAGCAAGACAGACAATTCCGTCTTTACACGTCCAGATTTCTGAAAGCTACATCATGTTGTACTTACTAGTGATGTATATTTTTGTAACGGTTGGCATGGTCAATTGTATTTTCTTTGTCACTAATACGCATCCACTATGCTACCACAAAACGCATTTACTTTTATGTCATGCTGTCTCCTTTAGGTTTTGGAAAGTTCAAAAAATGTTATTTTATTCAATAGCACCTTACTGCTCTTTCAAAAGCACCTCTTAAACTTGTAGAAAATTAACTGTAGTGGAAAAGTTTGCTTCAGGTTATGAAGTATTTTCTGAATCTGATGTTCCACTAAAAAAAAAACCCCAAAAAACCAAACAAACAAAAAACCACACCAAAAAGTGTAGCGTCGTTTATATACCCTGGGGTTTGTCAGGCCGCAATGGCTGCTGTTTCCTTATCCTCTCTTGGGTTTCCGTGAGGGGCGTAGCTGATGCTGCCATTTGTTGTACCCAAGAAGGGATGCCATGTACTTTTATTACACACTCATTACTACAAGGTCACCTGAAAAATAAGGTCAAGCAGGGTGTAAGGAATTTTTCCTTCCTGATTTCCTTTGAATCATCTTCATCATTATGTGTCCAACAATAGCTTCCAAATTTTCATGTATCTTACGTTTTGCATCTGATATTTGACTGCCTGAACTCTTCCTGACTGGCTTCAAGACCAACTTTGGTCTTGAAGTTCTTGATTGACCTTGGTATGGTTAAAATTTGCTGTTGGTGATACCCTGTTTCTTGAGATAGCGTGCCTTCTAAAGCGATGGCTTAACACAGAGCAGCCATCTTACAGCCTGGGCCTGCAGCTTAACCCTGTGCTAGGCTGCCTCGGGGAGAAAGGGCCGCTGTGCTTGGCAGCCTCACAGGAGGAGGGCAGGTTACACTGTGTGCCTGTTAGTAAGGTCTTCAGCTGCTACCTGGTAAGAAGATTAAACTCTTACGCAAGTCTCTTAAAGGCAGTTTATGATAAAGGGAGGTGAAGTTCTTCAGTCATGAACTGTCCCAGGAGCATCAGAGTAGTTTGGATTTAACACAAGAAGTGTTCTGCGTAACTCTCAGAGGCCTCGTGAATTATTTATTTTTCATAATACCACCACTGAATTTGTCTCCCATCACAGAGGCAGGAGATTATTGTTTAGAGCCTGCTGTGTGTAATTTGAACTCTTGATTCTGGCAGTGGAACAGCTTTTGCTTGGTTTGTGGGAGAAATACTGTTCTTTTTCAGTCCTCCTCAAGCCCCACCTAGGGAGGATGGTGGGTTAGAGATAGGACTGTTCAAATGCTGCCAGAGCAGGTGAGAGGGTGACTTGCCAGTAACTGGAATATAAGCGTATTGTCAGTATGGCTTTCTACCTGCTTCCCTTTTCTTCTGAATCTCCTTCAATTTCAGCAGAAGAGTACATGAAGAATTGTTTCTTGTGTATACTAATTTTAGTCTTAGCAAAATGCTTGTTTTATGCAGTCTTTTTAATGCTGTGTGTATGACCCATGTTGTCTGTTCTTCCAAAATTTGGAATTTCATCAGCACTTAGACATATGGCTTTACAAGGTTTTCTTGTGGGTTTTTTTTGAGAAGCTCTCTGTTTATATTTTGTTTTCTTAAACATGTATGGTTGCAAAACATAGGGCTTCATTGGGACTTAAGAAACTTTATTTTAAAATAATCTCACTTGAGTCTTTCTAAAAGCAAATACATAAAGGGGAGCTCTCAAGGGACAATCTAAATGTGAGTTAGAGCTATTATTAAAGCTGTTTTTCTCTCTTCCTGCAGGTTCATGTGTTCTCAGTTACCTAACCAGGTACTGAAGAGCATCAGTATCATCGACAGCCCTGGCATTCTGTCTGGAGAGAAGCAGCGCATCAGCAGAGGTGAGTTACAGGGCTTGAAAATAACTGAGCTCACTATTTTTGCTGTACTGGACAAGTCTTCATCCTTTGGGCCTGTTTTAGTGGTTTTAAGTTGTGATGTGTCCCAAACTTTCTTACTACAAGGCCTATTAAACCCATGTTTTAAGGCTGGAATTAAGGTTTGGAATTTTTTCTCTTGAAAACTGGTGGGGTTAGGATTTTTATCATCATCCTGCTATGGCTGCAAATAGCTATGGCTTTACAATCTGTTGACTAATTAGTGCTTTGACACTCCTGAGAAAAAACCTTATTTCCATAATTTTAGTTGCTTTCCACAATGTAATAATGAATAGAGTTTTACATATACTATTTAAGTTAATAAATGAAGAAATGTTTCATAATGGCTGTAGTTCTTCAAGCTGGTCATGTTTAAAAACTGAGGAGCTTGGGCTGTAAGGTACTTTTATTGTAGGGACAGCTGGTAATGTTGCTTCCTAAGGTTGTTAAGTTGTGTTGTAATATAATTGTCAGTCAAAAGAGTTAAGGTAGGAAGAGAGAATGATATATATATTTTTTTCTTTTTTTTTTTAAATAAAATGAAAATTCTGTGAAGAACTGAAACCTGGTTTTAATAAATTATTCTGTCTGTGAAAACAGCATGATGTAAATAACTTCCTGGTTTCTTTCAGCTGCATTTAAGTGCGTGTCAGAGGTTTCTGTGGAGTTGCAAATGGTAGTGAATCCGGTGTGTGGCTTATGCTGCCCTCTGTTTTCAGATCTTTGCTTAAGAAAAGGAAACCTGGGAGGGAGAAGTAATCAGCCTTTAACATATCACACCTGGGATTTTCTGAGGAAATCCTGGAATGAGCACAGATATATGCCAGCTGTGCACCCAGCTTTGGTCTTTACATTGCACTGACAGAATAGGAGACTAACTTAAGACTGTGATCTAGATTATGCTTGCTTAGTAAACTGGTCTACTAGATGTTTCTGGATTCTCTGTTCTGTCTGAATGTGGGTTTTGTCCTCTTTATTGCTCATGTAGTCATGTAAAGCATTCATCATGGGGAGAGCTATGTATTCTTATATGTGATATATTGGTGAACTAGCAGAGATGCACAGCAGTGAGTGCTCTACATCTGTGCAAAGGCTTGACTGTTGCCAAACCAGATGAATAAAACAAATATTGCGAGTTGGCACTCTTATTTCTAGGCAGAAATCACAGAATCATTAAGGTTGGAAAAGACCAATAAGATCATTCAGTCCAACCATCAACCTAATACTACCATACCCACTAGACCATGCCCTAAAGTGCCATGTCTACATGTTCCTTGAACACCTCCAGGGGTGGTGACTCTACCACTTCCCTGGGCACCCTGTTCCAGTGCTTGACCACTCTTTCAGTAAAGAAGCTTTTCATAACATCCAATCTAAACCTCCCCTGACACAACTTGAGGCCATTTCCTCTTGTCCTGTCACCAGTTACCCAGGAGGACAGACCAGCACCCGCCTCCCTATAACCTCCTTTTAGGTAGCTGTAGAGAGTGATAAGGTCTCCCCTCAGCCTCCTCTTTTTTTAAGCTAAACAACCCCAGCTCCCTCAGCCGCTCCTCATAAGACTTGTTCTTCAGACCCTTCATCAGCTCCATTGCCCTTCTCTGGGCACACTCCAGCACCTCAATGCTCTTCTTGTGCTGAGGGCCCCAAAACTGAACACAGGATTCAAGCTGCAGCATCACCAGTGCCACGTACAGGGAGACAATAGCTTCCCTACTCCTGCTGACCAGACTATTCCTGATACAAGCCAGGATGTTGTTGGTCTTCTTGGCCACCTGGGCACACTGCTGGCTCATATTCAGCTGGCTGTTGACCAACACCCCCAGGTCCTTTTCTGCCTGACAGCTTTCCAGCCACTCATCCCCAAGCCTGTAGCATTGCATGGGGTTGTTGTGACCTAAATGCAGGACCCAGCACTTGTTAAACCTCATACAGTTGACCTCAGCCCATTGACCAAATGTATAACTAAGCACCTTCAATCTTCTCATAAAGTGTCCACAGAATATTTGTCTCAGTTTACACAGAGTCTGATAGAATCAAAGATGATCTTAAATCTCCTACTTCTGCTTCTCCATTTTGGATTCTGTCTCCTTTTTTCCTCCACCAAGAAAAATCAGGCTCATCTTTCTTCCTCTTTGCTTCTTAAATCGAGGGAAAAGGATGCTTGGCAGCATCATTCAGGTGTCGGCTGCGCCTTCTTTAACAGTATGGAAGGGAACATGAAATAAGCAGAAATAAGCAGAAAACTAGAGCATCATATTAATACACCACTGAAAAAGAGAGCAGTTGTGTGACAGAATTAAACACCGTTAGGGATCGCTGTGGAAGTCCCAGACTTCACCTGTGGGACAGTTGTATTTCACTCCAGGTTATGTTTCACTGGCATGCCTCTTGCTTAAAGCACCATGGCTCGTCACTGCCATCTAGAATTCCTCTTGTAACTTAACAAAACATATGGCTGTTGCTTTATTGCTCAGAATTTCTGATGGAATGTGCCTTATCAATCGTTTTTATGGCCTAGCTGGCCTGCCCTTTGATATGGTAGACTTTCACCAAAGTTCACAGTGGTCAGTCATAACATCCAACTCTTACCTGTTTCACAGACTTTGGCTTGACTAGTTTGCATTTCATGGATTTCCCCCCCCCCCCCAGTGTGTAAAGGATTATCTTGAATACATAACTTGAAATAGTTCTTTTATCACAAATGTGCTTCTCCAGTATGCTGTGTAGCTTTAACCAGTGTGGTTGTACCATAAATAAGGTTTGGGGAGTCAGCTTTACAGCACTGTTCCCTTTGTGCCCCAGGTTTGCAGGGCAGGTGGTGCCAACATTTAAGGTTTCATATACTTAGGCATCAGCATACGTGAAGTACCTACAAGTCACTGTATGGACCTATTGCATGCACCTATTGCAAGCTCTGGTGATTAGGCAATGGTGCGCTCACCCATGTCTGAAATACTGCATAGTCAGATAAGTTTCCTGTACGTGACTTTTGGGCTGCTTATGCAGTTTCCATGGAGGCGGCTTTGTGAAGTACAAACTTGACTTGTCCTGTGGTGCACCATACAGCAAAGCCTGTCTGATCTGCTTCTTGAAGAAGTCGCGCTGACTTCAATGTATTTATGCTACAAGTCTTAATTTAGCATGTTTTGAAGTCTGAGTTGCTTAGATTCCGTTTTAAATCACTGTATGTGAATGTAAGCAGGAATCTACAAGATGTTATCTGCTGTCCCTAAATGTCTGTGTCAGAGGAGGTTCTGTCTGTACACTTTCAGACCAAGAAAGGGTTTTTGCCTTCAAAATGTGTCTTTACCCCTTAAACTCACTGGCTGCTTTTCACTGAAATAAGGTTGCAGCTCGTGTGCTTCGCTGTGGGAACTGCCCTTTCCCTTCACTATGAAGGTGATTAGACTAAACATAGGGCTGCTTATCTGTGCTTGCCAGGAAGTCTCCAAATATACAGGTGACTATTCAGAATTTCTTTTCTGACAATTTCACAATTCTTTTATTTCAGTATTTTATAGTTCAGCAATTTTTTAAGTGTTTTGTTTCTCTCAAACTTTTTTTTTCCTTATTTAGGAAATAGCAGCAAGATTTATAATATATGCAAGATGAGATTTTTCATAATCTAGTAATGAAATGTGACATTTGATAACACCTGATAAGTATTTTTAGATGCTTTCTATTCTACAAATTATTGGTGACTGTTCGTATCTGAGTTTTTAAATGACTTTTCTGCAAGAAGGTTAACATTGGTGAGCAGCAATGTTTCTCATTGATGACGTTTTCATGTCTTTGATGTAAGAGTAATGTTACAGGGTCTCAGTGTAAAACCTTCACTCTTTGCTGTTGGTGTTTTTTTCCATCTTCTCATGATCAACTGCTTAACTATTTACCTATGAATAGGCATAACACCTGCATAATGACAGAATTTGACAGGTATCACAAGAGTAAGGTGAAACCTCCTGAGACCAACAAAGCAGTCAAATGTTAACTTTCAGGTTTAATTTGCAGGAAAATACTAAAGGGACTCTGTAAAAATGCAGGATAGGCATTACTTCCCAGCAAGTTTTATTTATAACCCTGGAAAGCATCCAGGACATGGATGAAGAAGGATTGAAGGGTCAAAAATAGACACCGAGTCCAACATTCAAAGCTAGCTGTCTTTCGAGGCACCTTTCCCACTGCAGTTGTGGAGGGAGGATGTGCCAGAAGCTTCCTCCCTGTCAGTGCAGGGGCTGCGTAAGTGGCTGGAGGCGACTGTGGAGACGCGTGCCAGCATTGTTCCCGGTCAGACAATGCCCGCCCTGTGCCACACCACTGGTGGCGTTCACATAGCCCACGTCACACAGAAACGTGTGTATGGTCTGCAAGATTTGGAAGGCACAATGAGCGTAAGCAGAGGAGGAAGGAGGAGCAATGTCTGGCAGGGCGTGGGGAGGAACTGCTTTTAGAAAGGAAGGTGGGGGAGGTTGGTTAATGATGAGTGGCATGAAAGCAAGGGTTTTGAGAAGTATGGGGAAATTGCTCAGAGGAAAATGGAGGATATTGGTTAGCTTGTGTTTTTAGAACTGGAGTTATTTAAGCACAGGTGATTTTCTCAGTTTAATCTGGCTTGTGAAAATGTAGTCATGGATTAAGTAAAGAGATGTATATAGTTACAGCATTGTGTCAGGCTTTCCCTGGTGGTGAGGCTGTGCATTCTCCTTAGGATTAGTCCACCAATGGGAGTGCAGCAAGCGTGTTATCCAGGAGCGCTGGATTGAGGCAGCCTTTCATTAACATAACTGGAAACTTCCACCCAGGACAGCAGAAAATATATCTTTCCATGTGGGATGGAGCTCTGATTGACAGACTGGGACAGTTTAGATGCTTGCCTGTCGCAAAGCATTAGGACAGCAGACTGGGGGAGTAGGGGCAGGCTGCTCTTGTCCATGTCCAAATTGTGTGTTGTAGTCTCGGTTGTGTGGTACTTAGGCAGCACTGGCAGGTGGGATGTCTCCAGCACTCTGTCCACCCCTGATTCATCTGGTGAGTGGATATCATGCTCTGAGCTTGGAGGCTCCTCATTGCAGTGTTCATCTGAGAGGCACCTGGCGCCTCTCTTCTGCTGTGCCAGTGGCACCAGCCCCAGGGGTGGACGGACTGGACACTCGGCCTGTCTGGGCTGGCAGAGGATGGGTGGAGCCCATCAGGCCTCCCTAGTTGTTTTCTCAATTGCAAAAGCTTTGGGAGATGGTATTATGACAAGTTGGAAATTATCTACCTTGGGCCCACAAGGGAAAGCCTACAGTTTGTTTAAATCCTTATTACTGACTAGCACAGAAAGTTGACCCACTCTCATACAGCATGATCACACAGCTTATGGCTGCTGGCTGTTACATACTGGGCTGGTACTTTGCCCTGTGCCAATGCCACATGAGAGCTCATGATCATTCGTCTTGTCAGTGTTTCCAGGGCTGGTGACCACATGCAGTCTGTCGCCAACTTTTTCATCTTTTCCACATTGTTCCATTTTGTTCTCCTTTGTGGTTTCTGTGCAGCCCATGACTGATGCCCAACAGTTATCCCTCTGCTGGGGGCACCAACCTGCTCCCTCCCTGCAGCTTGGGATGAGCTCAAGAGCTCTGCAGTGCTGCTGGTGGCTCGCTGCTTCCCTCTGCCCCTCACCTGGGTGCAAGGGTGACTTGTGACTTGCTAATATACATTTGCAAGTAGATGTACCTGGTGAGACATAGATCTTCAGGTTGGATGTAATTGCTGACATCAGTCACTGGAACAAACGTGTGAAGAAATAGCAACAGTAGGGCAGCAAGAGGCTGAGAAGTATCAACACCAAGTTTTTTTGGTCACGTTTTCCAAACGGCCCAGTGCTGACCTTCTACTGCTCAACTTTGAAAACCCTAATCCACGCACATGTACTGTATGGGACAGGATCCTAAATGCACTGTCTCAGTGCTGTCCTGTGGCTTCCTTTCAAGGTCATTGCTTTGATGGGCTAGAGCTGCATTTTGTTCTCTGGGGGGGCAGGGTCGAGAAATCATGAAACCAACTGTACGAAAACCTTGGCTGAAATATTTAACCATATTTCACTCCGCTGTGGTTCAGGTATACTCTAATGCATAATGAGTTAATCTCTTTATAGAATAGGTTCACTTCTAATGACAAATTTTCATTAAAATGAATAATTTCTTTCAGATTTTTTTGATGACTTCTTTTTCTTAAAATTTTCAACAAGCAGATATTTCTTTCTCAAAGCAAATGCTTCATTAATGTTTAATCCATATTTAAAATAAATGTATTGCTAGTTAACGTACACTTTTTAACTGTGCAGTTGCTTTTACAGTTCAAAATCCACCAAACTTGTGGTGTGAATTTATATATTTATTTAACCAGTCTTATAAGTCACCTTCTCACATAGCCACTTGTGGAAAACTTAGTAGAATTTGACTTGCTTCATTTTGCAATTTTATGTATTTCATTTGAAGAATATTTCCTTCTGCATGAGTGAAATCGGAACAGATGATTGCATAGCTGAGACTTGTCCACTGATGCACAACTATGTTGTGTGTCATACAAGATGTCGCTTCTTTCTTACCTGCTGAAATTCATAAAGATAAATTATTCATACTGATTTTAGTAAGATTGTTAGTGTAAAGTGAGAAGAGTTCTTTTGGTGATGTTTTGTGCAGCTCTCCTCCTTGCTCCCACCTTTTGTTTCATGTTTAACTCTTTAGGAACTGGTCACAGGAAAGAATGTATGCACCAGAGCATCAGTATCTGGAAAGGGGATGGATTTTGCACACTTTACAAAGTAATCCTTTTAATGGGAAAGGTTATGTTGGCTTTTCTTTCTTTTCGAGCCAGATAATGAGTCTGACCTGCATCCTTTTGGATGGTAATAATACTTTTTAGGCATAGTCCGCTCCTTTGCTCCAAAAGCAAAACCTGATTCCCTTTTGGGTTCCCTGATAAAGACCAAAAACTTGAAAGTATAGCAAATAATGACTTGACTGAACCAGCATTGTTTTAAGAAAAGCTACGCAACTTTACGATGTCCCCATGCCCTTTTATTTATACTGTTTAAAAGATGCTAAGGCGCATGAGGAGTGGCGAAGAATGTTTTGCTCCTATCTGAACCAGGTGTATGAAGTGTTTGTCTAATAGGCTCATCTATGAGTAGTCTAAGTGGGTTTTCTTTGCTGGGGGATTGGAGGTTGAGAGGCTTACCTTACTCAGCTGAGAAATGACTGAAGACACCTGGGGGGCTCACTGGTGGTAACTGAGCTTTCTTTGCTGTTGACAGTTAAATATACGCTGCTGGGGGCAAAACTGTCAGTTCTGTTTGGGTTACTTTACACCAGTCCTAGAATTTTGTCTGCTTCTTCTTTTAGCTCTGATTTGTTTCTGAGAGGAAGAGGAGGGGTGGGGTGTCAGCTCCCAGCCCTTACCTTGCTGTTCCTTACTCAAACAAGATGAGTCACATCCATGCCAAGCCCAATGCCACATCACTCGTGGTGACTCTCTGTGGATTAAATGTGTCACTTCTGAATAAGGAACTCCTGAATTCTTTGTTGTGTGGATTAGGCTACCAGCTGCATTTATAAAAGATTCAGACAGGTGCTATGAACAGGCTTTACTTAAGAAAGTTAAAAAGTTTGTTGCACATGATCAGAAAGGTCACTGCTTGTTGTGTCCCATCACCTATCATGTCCCTGAAGCCATCAGCAAGGCAGGCACATTACTTTTAAATTGGATCTCTGAGTTTGCTGTGGTAGAAATAACAGCAAGTGTTGCAATGCAAGGAGATGGTAGTTCAGGAAGGGTTTTAAAATCAAAATATTTTCAGTTGCTGACTTACACTGGAGTGCTGCACGTGCGCCGTTTTCCCTGTTAGTACAGGTAGGCCGCGCTACCGGAGCAGCCAGTATTAACAGCAATGAAGAGAGCCTGTCGCGGGAGCCCCACAGAGCTGCTCAGCTTGGGCGTTCTGCTGCAGCCAACACTCCTGGGGAAGGGCAAGCATGGGTGTGAGGCAGTAACTCAGAGCAGCACAAAAGACAGCGGCATGGGAGATGGATGGCAAGGTTGAAGGAAGGGCAGTGTTTAAAACAAAATAGTGAGACCGATCTAAAGAAATGTTAGATACAGTTGTCCTGATCTCATTTTCCACAGACGTCTCTGCTCCAGGTGGTCCATCTCCTCTTTTCCCCCACACAGATGCTATGATCCCCTTGTTCTCCATCCCCAGCCCTACCTTGGTAGGTAGGGCTGGGGATGGAGAATGGTAGAACTGTAATAGTGTATTCTTCCTCCAGGCTACGACTTCTGCCAAGTCCTCCAGTGGTTTGCTGAGAGGGTTGACCGCATCATCCTCCTTTTTGATGCCCATAAGCTGGATATATCGGATGAGTTTTCCGAGGCTATTAAGTCATTCCGGGGCCAGGATGACAAGATTCGAGTGGTGCTTAATAAGGCCGACCAAGTGGACACCCAGCAGCTGATGAGGGTTTATGGTGCGCTCATGTGGTCCCTGGGAAAGGTGATCAACACTCCAGAGGTGCTGCGGGTCTACATTGGCTCCTTCTGGGCCCATCCTCTCCGAAACACAGAGAATAGAAGACTATTTGAAGCTGAGGCACAGGATCTTTTCCAGGATATCCAGAGCCTCCCGCAGAAGGCTGCTGTGCGGAAACTCAATGATCTCATTAAGAGGGCAAGACTTGCAAAGGTAAGAAAAGATTTAAAAAAACCCTAAATTAATCGAATGAGCAGTTTCTTCTCTCTCTTTCAGTGTGTCCTTTCTCACCCTTCCCAATCTTTCTCTACCTAGAAACTATGTGTTTTTCAGCAAATGGATTGAATTTTCAGTTTTCTGAGTAAGAGATAATCACTCAGGATACAGGAGGAGGTAGGAGGAAATAGACTTTTACTGCAGTGCCTTCCAAACTTTAGAGAAGGGATTTGGTGCTTGTTAGGCTATTAAAGCTATTGTTTGCTTGGTAGGGCAGTGATTTCTTTTTTTTTTTTTTTTTTCTGGACACTACAGCAAGGTAATCTTTTTGGAGAAAAAACTGCTTTTGTTTTTTAACAATATCTGGTATGTAGAGAATACTTAAAAAAAAAAAAAAAAGGAAGGGGGGAGGGGGCAAAAAACCCACAACAAAAACTATTCATATGCAAGCTTCCATATGCTTTTTTGCATATTAATGCCATAATGCATACCATCAATCAGCTGCTGTGGAAAAATGCTTTTACTAAATGTATTTATGGTATAACCTGCAATGCAAGACTGGTTAAAAGCCTCACTCTTGGCGGAGCACAGATAGTGATGAATTGGAGAGGTGCCTGTCCATTAGAAATTCCTGACCCTCTTAGATTGTATCTTCTTCATTCCCAGTCACAGAGAAACTTGAGTGATGCAGACTCCGTGTCATCATATCCAGAAAAAACCCAGGAACATGAGTTGTGTGCCCCGCTGTTGGTAGCCCCTGTCACCATCCCCCTTGGTTTCGGCTCTGGAGGAGTTACAGGCATTGTGTGCAGTGTACAGTCGCTAACCAGTGTGCGTGGGCAGGCAGTGTGTGACAGTGCTGGGACTGCCTACAGATGGCTGCGGAAAACCCGTTTCATTTTTTTGATAGGTCTCTAGTTGTCTTTGATGAATGAGTGGATGCCACTTTACAGCTTTGCGAATTATCACCATGTTTTAATTACCTAGTTGTAAAACCTTCAGGTGATATTTTACACTCATCCTCAGACTTTCTGCGTAACAACTCTAGCTTCATCTGTCCTTTCTTCTCACAGCCTGACTGGAATGAGCTTTGGTTGTAGTCTGATATATTTCTTTGCCTGTTTCTCTGATTCTGCAGTGAGTTTCTCCTATTGTGACGCTGCAACTGCTATTAGAAAAATAGTTAAAAGCACTGATAAGCTGCTTGTTGTTTTGAAAAAGTCAGAATGAAAATTGGTTATTGAAGAATGATGATTTATCATTTGGAAAATTGGAAAGGAAAACTAACCTCAGGAATACTTGAGGAGAAAGTTGGTGGTACCAGACAGAAATTCTAATTTCCTATGCAGTTATGAAACAGTCAGTTGAGCTAATGAAGTTGTCTTGGAACACACGTTTATGTGGACTTCTAAGTAAAAATGAAGAGGAGTTGCACTTACATTGATACAAGAATAGTCATGTGGGGATGTATACCACTTCCTATGTTGGCTTAATTAATGCTCTGGATGTAATGATACAGGATTTTTTTGTGACCTGAGCTTTTGCACCCTGTAGCAGTTGCTTCTTTGAAAATTACATTTAAAATCGCATTCCTGATGATGATGTGTTAAAAGTTGCTGTGACCTCAATCTGTTTTGTGGATGTTGTTGGCAGCTTTTTGCTTTCATTTGTTACAGCTGTTTTGGAAGTGAGAAAGTGTCAGATGGATCATCTTTAGGTGCTTCTATGTGACGTAAAATAAAAATGGATTAAGGTGAATACAAAATACAGTGCTCACAGGGCATTCTAATTAGACAGCTGTGGAAGGGGAATAAACTGTTTATCTGCAGGAAAGTGGCAATCTTTCCAGTGTTGTCTTTCTACCTTCCAAACTGAAATTACTGGCACTCAAAAAAATTTCTGTACAGCTTTGCATGTTTGGTGGTTTTGTTTGTTCTATATCTGTGCCACTCTGTTCTTAATCTTTTCTAAAGTATGTACAGTAACCCAAACCAAACTGTTAATTTGCTGTCAAATTTGGGCATTAGTCTTTTTTTTTAAGTCCTGTGACTCACTGTCCCATTTTGAAGCGGGGAACTGTTCTTATCTACAAGAAACACATGTGCATACTGGCAGACCTTAGGCCACTTGTGAAACTGTTAAGTGTTCTTGAAACATACTTTTCTGGTTTTGCTGGAAGTAGTATTTTAAATATAAGACCCAAAAAATTACTAAACTCTCTTAGCAACATCCTTGTTGGCTAAGTTCTGTCATTCTGGAGAAACACTCATATCTACCCTATTAGAAAATTTCATGGGTTTTTTTTTTAAAAAAAAAAACCTGCTTCTTTATGCTGTGGGTTTTTTTTTTCCTCCTCTGTAGAAATGAAAATTTATCTGCAATTAAAATGCATGCACTCTTTTTAGATATGAGGAAGTGATGTTGTGTGAAAGTTGCGATCTTAAGACATGCAAATAAAAACCGGTTACACCATTTTTCTGTGTTTGAGAAGATTGTAAGTAACTTCTGTTTTGGTAGCAGCTGCATCCTTTTTTGATGAAGGACCTGAGTTCTGTAAAGATTTGTCCTGTTGTGGAGGTCATTTGACTTCAGTTGTTCTGACCAGGTCAGACCTTAGGAAAGCAATTTGATTACTTCAGGTTGTGATAGATGTGCTTTGCTTCTAAAAGAAGCCTGCCCTTGCACATCCTTCTTGCGTGCAGAGCAAATATCAGTGCCCACAGAAGGAACTGGATAGGTGAACTCAATTCAGTTAGGAAGTGCAACCACTGTTTCTCTCTTGGGCCAGATTGCTCGCTATGTGGCCAAGCAGATCCTTTTGGTGGTGAAAGGTGGTGTGGGAGGGTGGCAAAGGGGAAGAGATGGATGGTTCAGCATAAGGGTGGAAGGAGGATGCATGGGCAGGATGGATGTTTTGATGGCAGTGCTGGATAATCACGACAGACGGGAAACTCTTAAGAGCTCTCCAAGTATCAGTGTGTTTTAAGACTTGTCATCCTAAATTAATGTCATTCTTTATATTCTGCAAAGGCTCTACTTTTCTCCCAAAGGCTTCGTGAGGCACCCATGGCATGCTTTTCTTACACTGACTGCTCTGTCACCCTCTGGTGGCTGCATAAATATAGACCACAGGTACTCACTTTTCTGGGATTAAATAGGTAGGAACGCAGTGTCACTTCAAATAGATAGCCCTGCCACTTAGCATATTTGGATTGCTTGAGGCATCATCCCATTGCTTCCCACAACAACTGGCAAGGCAAATGGACTTACAAATCTCTACCACTGAGACAGATAGACCAGAACGGCTGGAATTCTGCGTGTGATCCATGCATGTGGTGTCAGGACGTGGTTTTGGGGTCTTGCTTTTTCTCTCACTGTTGATACTGATTGAATGCGGTACCATGCTTTTCCCTAAACTGCAAGTGTACATCTGCATCTTTCAAAGGTGTTCGCTTTCTCTCTGCCCTCAAAGGAATGCTGAAAGCAGCAAAAGCTAGTTGGTAACCAGTTGTGTAAACATGAAGTTCCAGAAATAATCACTGATAATATCTTATCCTTGAGCTGACTTAGGGAAACATATTCTTTCTGTTTCTTTTTATGAACACTAAATATAGATAAACAGTAGTCCTGATTTCAGTTTTGCTTCTTCTTAGGTTCACGCTTATATCATCAGCTATCTGAAAAAAGAAATGCCATCTGTATTTGGAAAAGAGAACAAGAAAAAGGAACTGATCGGCAGATTACCAGAGATCTACATCCAGCTGCAAAGAGAATACCATATCTCAGCAGGGGACTTCCCTGAAGTCAAGAAAATGCAGGTAAGGTGATAGATTACAGTTCCACTGAAAAAATACTGACTTTCCAACAGGATTGCCAAGTTGGAAAAGGTAGGACAGAGTATCTCAGCATTATAGTTTAAGGTCGTCAACAACAGAGCAGCTGAAGTGACAATCAGTTGTGTCTGTTAAGGGATTAGCATGACTCGGAAGCAGTGCAGAACAAAAAAAATTACAACTTGCTTTTTGTGCATCAACTGATACAGAATTATAGAAACAGCTCGATGTCTGGATGGAGATCAGTGATGAGTAGTGTCCCTCAGGGATCTGTACTGGAACCAGGACTTTTATTATCTTCATCAATGACATAGCAGGATCACGTGCAACCTCAGCATATTTGTACACGACACCAAGCTAAGTGGTGCAGTTGGCACACCTGAGGGATGGGAAGCCATTCACAGCGACCTGGACAAGCTCACAAAGTGGGTTGGGGCAACCCCCAGTATCAATACAGGCTGGGGGGGGAGTGGATTGAGAGAAGCCCTGAGGAGAAGGACTTGGGGGACTGGTTGATGAAAAACTGAACGTGTATCCTGGGCTGTAGCAGAATAATTGTGGCCAGCAGGTCGAGGGAGCGGCTTCTCCCACTCTACTCTGCTCTTGTGAGACCCCACCTGGGGTACTGTGTCCAGCTCTGGAATCCCGTTGATCAGAGGGCTGGAGCACCTCTCCATGAAGACAGGATGAGAGAGTTGGACTTGTTCAGCCTGGAGAAGAGAAGGCTCTGGAGAGACCTTATGGCAGCTTTCCAGTACCTAAAGGGGCCTACAAGGAAGCTGGGGATGGACATTTTAGTAGGGCTTGTTTTGAAAGGACTCACCTCTGATTTGAGGTGAGCTGTTAAGAAACAAACAGTGTTCTGGGGAAGAACAGCTAATGTTTTGTTAACCATGCTTTTCAATTTGTTCCTCAAGCCTCCATTCGCAACTTTTGGATCTCGGATCATAGACTCCTTAAATGGCCTTTGATTTAGAAACTAATTCAGCTTGGAAGCTGAAGAACATGAGGTCAGGAGCTTGCTGTTTGGTCTTGACCGTAGGCTAGTCATGAGTGCGGTGGAGAATGTTTTCCAGGTTGACACTTGAGTATAATTCTGACAATTTTTGTGTTATACTGCTAATCACAGAGAGTGATGACTGGCTGATTAACCTATCTATAGGGATGCACATGCTTCTTTTATGAACTAAACTGTTTAACTTGGGAATCAATTATTGGCATGAGACAATAAATTAATTATAGATGAAGCACAAGATCTAGTTCAGGTAGGTTTTCGCTGGCAGGATTGTTGGAAGGGTTTCATGAGTTAGGATTTAAAAAGGGGTTGTGTGGAAAAAGCTGACTCTTTCTTCCCTTGCCACTTTTGTTGGTGATGGGGAATGAGGGAGTGGGGGGTGATCACTTTTCAGTTCAGGTATTGAAACCAAATTGGAATGGAACTTTATAAAAGTAAACTTCATAAAGAAACTTTATAAAAGTAAACACACACTTCATAGTGCGTGTGGTTAAGCCTCAGCAGCAGATGGCAGCAAATATGTACGTAAGAGATCAGTCACTGCTGTAATGAGGAGCAAAATCATGAGGACAGTAAAATTGTACCAAAACAGATAGCAGGTTTGACCTTTGCTTTCTAAAATTTATTGCATATCATACATTTATGCTGATAAGTTGCTGTAAATGAGGTGATTGTCCGTGTCACCTGAACAGGGTGATGGTTTTCCTCTAAGAAATCCAGAGTTCTGTTCACATGGATGAAGCCACTCTCCTGTTCTTCAAGTTTCTCTGGTTCATACTGTTACAGTTCTGGTATATATGGGAGCACCCCGCCCCTGCCCCGAGATGTGATTTGTCAAAGCAGTTCAACACTATTTTGAGAGGGGTTTTGGGGGGATTGGTTTGGGTTTTTTTACAGATTCCACTGCAATCAACTGTAACTCTCTTTCTGGCTAGCATTTTGCATGTAGAAATCACTTAATTGCCTAAAGTGGTTTTGGTTTTTCAACACTATGGTGGAAAACATGCTTGGGCTTGTGTTGAAACAGCACATATCACCTAGTTAAACTTCTCGTGGAGGTTAGTAGGAGTTTTTGTACAAGGTGAAAACTCGGCAGGGACCGTATGACTGTGAGTTCTGGCAGCACTTCTGTAAAAATGCTGCTGCTGTTATCCCAGCTCAGTGTTTCCTTATTGGTAAAGGACATTACTTCATGACCTAACCACAAACAAGAAGTTTAACCTATAAAATCAGATTAGTCCTGCAAATTCTTGGATTTATTTTTATCTTAAACACTTGCGTAAGTGCTAGCAGGACTGAGGGCCTACTTGCATATTTTCTTTGATGTTTGGAAGAAAAGCACCAAATGCAAAGTTGTTAGGTTACGTTCATCAACTGCTGTGTTCTTGTGCATTGCCACTTGAAAATTATATTGTGTCATTTAATAGACCAGCTCATACACTGCTGCAAAATTGTCTTAGTGTGTTTCACTAATATATTAGGTGTATGATACATATGTGTCAGCTTTGCTTCTACAAGAGGAGCTTCAGTTATGCTTCAAAAGATAACAGATTATTTTCCTTTAAAGCCTGTTCCTTAACCTGTTTCAATGTATTGGAAGTTGTTCTAACTACTGTCACCAAAACCTTTGTCATTGACAGGAGCAGTTGGAGACTTGTGACTTCACTAAATTTCACTCTTTGAAACCAAAGCTGATTGAAGCTGTGGATAACATGCTGGCCAACAAAATTGCCTCCCTGATGAGCCTGATCAGACAGGAAGAGACCAATATGCCCACAGAGATGGTCCATGGGGGAGCATTTGATGGCACCATGGCAGGACCTTTTGGCCACGGATATGGAGAAGGTGCTAAGGAAGGAGCTGATGAAGACGAGTGGGTTGTTGCCAAAGATAAACCTGCTTACGATGAGATTTTCTACACTCTGTCACCAATCAATGGCAAAATATCTGGGATCAGTGCAAAGAAGGAGATGGTGACTTCTAAACTACCCAACAGTGTCTTGGGGAAGATCTGGAAACTTGCAGACTGTGATGGCGATGGGATGTTGGATGATGAGGAGTTTGCGTTGGCGAAACATCTTATCAAGATTAAACTGGATGGATATGAACTGCCTGGCACACTACCTTCCCACCTGGTGCCACCATCTCACAGGAAACCTTTGCAGACAGCAGAGTGAAAAATACAAGAAAAATGAGGATTTGGGAAATCGTTCAACAGATGTGTTGAGAACACCAACATTTGTAATTAGTCTTAGATCCTTAAACTTCACAGCACATTTCACGCAAGCTACTGAAATTAGAAGCATAGTAGCAGGGAAACATTCCTGTAGGTGTCCCTGCTGACCTTCACTGAGACATGCTTGTCACAAGTGCCTTGTATAGATCTATCATGATGCGTGATGGTAAGGTGAGAATGGTTTTTGTAGTCCTGCTTCCATGTCTTGCTGCCTTTACAACCATTAAGAGAAAAGACCATATATAAAAATCACTGACCTTCACCAAACCTAAATGCTTTTATCACCCGTACGTTTCTACAAACCATTTCAAATAGTGCAAGGAAGCTCTAAACATTAAACTTGCCCGCCTATGCAAGGAGCTATTTTGTCTGCTAAAAACATACTTCAGACATCGAGTGAATGTCAGCATCTCTACAGTTTAAAAGGCAGATATAAAAAGAAATTTTATTTTTATTCCTTTTTTTTTTTTAATTTAATTTGGGGTAGAAAAAGCGAGAAGAGTAACGGAGAGGGTCTTTTAAGTGCTCAGAATATGAGCAGACTCATTTTAAAACTTTGCAGATTATAGCTAAAACTGCAAAATATTAAAGTGATTCTTTCAGTCTGTCGTCACTGTGTCCTGCTACCTGAAGAACTGCTTCTTTGGTTTTATACAGCACTATATGCTCAGTATTATCGTTAAAAGAACTGAATCTCCTTTGTTCCTTGGATCTGCAGTTTCTGTTGAGGTTTCAGTTTAGCTGCTCCGCAGACAAGAAGTTCCCGAGTTGTTCAAAGTGACAGCACAATGTTTTCATAAGCTAAAAAGAAAGAAAAATCATGTTTCCTTTGAAATCAAACCTCGCTTTCTGTTCAGAAAAGGTGCATTGTTCAAAGTCAGCCTCTTCAAAGCACATCAGATTGTCTTGGGAAGTTTTCATTGGTATTTAATTTCTATTTACAGGTAATTATACAGTTACCTCTGAAGATTATTTTTTTTATATAATATTTTTAAGAAAAGTTTTTGACTCTCTTGCCAACATGTAGCTGACAACCCAGGAGAGAGTTGATTCCTAGGGTGGCAGATTTGAAAGATCAGGAGGCTACCAGGAATCTTCACATTGACTTGTGATAGACTGGGTCCCTCCAAATAGTATTGCTTTATTCAAAACAATCCATGAAAGCAATGAATGCTTAACAAACATTCATTTTTTGAACAACACAATCGAAGTTGAACATATCGGCGCTTACAACTGATTTTTGTCAGTACCTTAAAGGAGCATAAATTTTTGGCCCTGTGAGCTTGAGTCTGTGGAGGGCCAGCTCTTTTCTAAAATCAAACGTGGCAGTCAGTCTTGCTCTATGCATGTGAGCAAGAACTGTACTCTGTCCGTAGTATGAAATGCCCTGCACATCAAAGGTACTGTAATTGTGAGCACTTCTGAGTCTCAGTAAGTGGTAGCAGTTGTTACTTCTGAGACAGAGCAAGCCAAGAAGTGGTTTAGTATCCTTGCCGTAGGGATGGGGAGGGAAGTAGTTTGGGTATTGTCTCCCAGTTAAGACTTTATTCACACTTACATGTTCAGATTTGTAGGTGACCTAAAAGGAACCTCAGCTTCTGTTTTCAAGTCGTACACTTGTAGGTTGTCCGTCAGGTTTAATACTTCAAATCTTTCCAGGCCTCTTGTATTTCTGCATCTGTTCTGATGTGAAATTACCATGAACTTTTCCAGGGCTCTGCTGTTTGAAAACAATGCAGCTATTTTAAGTAATGACAGAAGAACACCTTTACCTTGCCAGGCTTCCCAGCCTGTGTCAGAGATATCCTTGCATAGTTAAACTGTTCTTGAGGGCTTGCTTGCTTCTTTTAATTCTTAGATTTTTATTCTCTTATCATGCAGGCCTGCCAACTTTATTTCTGTTAGACCTAAATTAGGAGCCTAATTAGCCTTAGTGCATTTCTGTGCACTTCAGTAGAGCTGTGAAACTTGACCAAGACACACTTGACCTGTGTGACTGTTCATCTGCGGAGTAACTGTTTTTTCTATGTAATTTATTTTTGATTGAACAGAAGGTAGTCTATAGACATGGCAGGAGTTGTTTAAAAAAAAAGTTTGCAGAAGTAGTAACGTGTGCTTGTTTGTGTGTAGTGTCTGCAGTCAGTAACACACTCATACACTAATGATCAGCCTGACTAGCTTAGCAAGGAAAGCCACCAGGAGAAAGCAAGCTTGTGTATTGTGGCTACTGTAGTGTGGGCAAAACTGAGAGAGGATCTGGGAAGTTACTGATCCTCTGACTCTGCCTTACCTTGTTCTTCAGCTGCAGAAGGTTCCAGGATGGACCCATGTTTGAATTCCCACTGTGGGTAGCCTGCAGGGGTGATGTTCCAAATGCTTTGGAGCTGTGTGATCCCATGCCAGTAGAAATATCCTCCTTCAGTGAGGGGAGCAGGATAGTTTCTCAGTGATTTGATTTTATTTTTCTAGCTTTACTGGTAGTCAAATGGACAACACAGCCTTTCCTTTTGCTCCATGAGTGTGTCCTAACTTGGGCTGCGGGGAGGCAAATTGAAATGCATCATTTTGATAAGTTAAAATATTTTGTCTAGATGGGGTTGAAATGTTATGCTTTGTTTTCCTGTAGAATTTGGAAGGGGAATGTACAAAGCATGTGGAGGAGTAGAGGTGGATTGCACTGTTTATTTGGAGGGATGGGTGTATTTCAGGATTGGCATGCAGAGCTACATGCATAAATGCATTTCTAGGTATGTGGTGCAGTGCACTAGCATTGTACGTATTTGATAGGAGTTAAGTACATTTCACGTAGACTTTTTAAACAGCAGCTTCTCGCCCAGCTAAACTGGTAAGGTAGGTTGCTGTTGCTCGGAGGAATGGATCTCTCTCACTACCTCCTCGCATACCCATGGATCTATTCCACTTGCCCTGCTGGTCACCTGGCTTGTCCGGTCCTGCAAGGTCATTCAGTTAGTTAAACCAGCCACGTCCAACAGTTTGGATAATGTTCTGTGGAGCCCATGTGTTAGGAGCATGAGGAGTGAGCAGGTCTACCTTTCTCAGGAAATTGTGCTCTCAGTCGTTACTGAGAACCGCAGTATGACGTAACCTTTGGCATTCAGTTTCATGTTGCGAATCGCTGATGATGGAAGTCGAAGATGTTGGAGTTGTTGGCTATTTTATGTTTAGGATTTTGATTACATTTGCTGCAACACCATTCGAAACGGTCAGTAATTCAGCCTGTGAAATCAGTGCCCACTGATGTAGGCTGCTGCCAGAAACCAAAGTACAGACTGCTGCTTTTACCTTTTCTCCAACTATTCCAATACACAGTTTGAATTCCCAACCCTAGTTCTGTTCCCACAGGAATTCATAAGACATGTTGTAGATTGGGACAGAAAATGTGAGGCTATTGCTCATAACCACACTACAGGGCAGCGAGAGCCTTTTAAAGCTGTGACAGCTTGAAAATGGTGAATTTATAAGGATCTTTACGTCTGGGTGAGGTCCGTTGTTAGTTGGGGCTGGTATGGATTTGTGTGGAACCTGGTCTCAAAGCAGCCATACCCAGTCCCTGACTTTCAACGTCATCGTTTATCTCCAGTACTTGAAATGTGCCCTCTTTTTGTTCTCCTCACCTCCTTTCCTTCACAACGGGCACTCACTTTGGTGGCTCTTTGTCCTGTTGGAGTCTACGTGGGGTTTGAAGGGTATGTGTAACCTAGCACTGAGAGAATCAACATGGACTTTGTTTTCCACTTTGCATGCTCACCTATTCTAATATTTTTGTCAAATACTGTGTTTTCACTTCAAAGGCACTCTAATTTATGAGGGATCTGTTTGGCGTGCTCTGGTTTGTCCAGCTAGGCAAACGAAGTTGTAAGTTCATTATTGTTGCACTTTTATTACAAAATAAATTCCTTGCAGATACGGTAATATATTTTAATATGCTTTGTAATAATTTTTAGAACGTGGTGATAAAAGTTGCTGATTTAATAAACTAATACTGAACAGAGATTTTCTTTTGTAAGCTTCTTCCTGGAAGGTAATCTTTCAGCGACTAGAAATTTGTTGTCCTGCTACTTAAGGCTCATAGGCGTAGTAGCTATTTGGCAAGCTGCTTGTTTTCACACCTCAGTTCATGTATCCATCATAATTATGGCCATTTCTCTTCTGTGTACTTGAACGTGTTGCTGAAATTAATGCCCATGCCAACGCTTGACTCCAGAATTAAGTATATATTAAAAGGAAAAAACACCCCAGCACCTCTCCCTAATTAGAATGTGATTTTTGAGGTTCTTAGTGTCTAAGCATGGAAATTTCTTAAAGTCCAAGTGTGGAAGATAAATCAAAAGCTTCCTGTGTGGATTGAAAGCTTGAAACTTGAACTGAGAGGCACTTCTTTCATCTTCAGTTAACCAACTTTGAAAAATAAAGAGTAGATTAAATAGCCGTTCAGCAAAGAGTACTCTGATATGTTTGTTCCAAAAAATCCAAGGCTGTCTTCCACACTGGGCTACCTACTTCTTGAAAATAGCCAATTATATCAATAGATTATTCATTTCTTTACAGCAGCCTTCCAGTACCTGAAGGGGCCAACAAGAAAGCTGAGTGGGACACTTTTTACAAGAGCCTGTAGTGACAGGACAAGGGATAACTGGTTTAAACTGAAAGTGGGGAGGTTTAGATTGGGTATCAGGAAGAAGTTCTTCATGGAGAGGGTGGTGAGGCACTGGCACAGGTTGCCCAGAGAAGCTGTGGATGCCCCATCCCTGGCAGTGTGCAAGGCCAGGCTGGATGAGGCTTGGAGCAACCTGGTCTAGTGGAAGGTGTCCCTGCCCACGGCAGGGGGGTTGGAACTAGATGGTCTTTAAGGTCCCTTCCAGCCCAAACCGTTCTGTGATTCTGTGAGTATACTCGGACAACAGGAAAAGTGTATGAATGTCCGCATTACCTGTTCAACTGTGTTTTGCAGTAATTATTTCTAATATTTGGCACCCTTAAAGTGTGAAACACTTCTATTTATATAAGGAAATAGATGCCCAAACCCAGCCAACATTTGTTGTGATCAAAACACAAGTGTACATCTCTTCCACAGCTGGACTCGGAAGTCCTGTATCTACATGACTTTTCTGACCTCTGAAGGGAAAAATCTCTCGTGGAAACCATGCTACTAAGATAGGTTCCTTTCCCTTTCTGTACAGGACTTTATGCTAGCACAGATTTG